AAATTGCCATTCACTGTTAATTACCTGTAAAGATTTTGGAAGTTGGGGATTATTAAGCATCTCTTTGCTGAAAGCATAGGGATGGACTCATTTTCTGTAGTTTTAGGGAAGGCCGTTTCTATCTTTTAATCCTAAATGCAGTCCATTTACAGGGTCCGGTGAAGAGGTTAGCTGTCGATGCTACCCTAAGAGCTGCTGCACCATATCAGAAGCTGCGCAGGGCGAAGGATGTCCAAAAGAGTAGGAAAGTGTACGTGGAGAAAGGTGATATGAGGGCAAAAAGAATGGCTCGGAAAGCTGGAGCATTGGTATTGAACCTTTAGTCTTGCAACAGGATTGCAGTAATTCTAGGATAAATCTTTGGTTGTTCTCCTTGTTATCTAATCTTATCGGGTCCTTGACTGCTGTCATGCAAGTAATTTGTTGGATTCTTTGTCGTCTATTCTCAGTTTTGGCAAATTCAATAATGCATGGAATTTGCCATATGCCATGGCGATCCTGCTATTTGCTGAATGGAACTTAATATAACATTGTGTAGGTAATATTTGTGGTTGATGCAAGTGGAAGTATGGCTCTAAACCGAATGCAGAATGCTAAAGGTGCAGCCCTTAAGTTGTTGGCAGAGAGCTATACAAGCAGGGATCAGGTACTTAATGTGGAAAACTTGTTCATTGCACTTGAGGTCTTTCTGGGGAAAAAAAAAAGAAGACAAAAATTCAGCCAGCAACATCTTTTTATCTTAAGTACCAATGAATTAGAAGATGAGGATTGCATGCTCTTTTAACAAGAAATCTTTCTTATATCTTGGACGTCACTGAGATATAAGGAGATTTCACTGATGAAGGAGATAGCACTACAAAAATTTCGATCCACTTTGGAGAGTGGAAGAAAGTTCCTAATGTCGTATTGTAATGCACTCTGTAAATCCTGCTATTATAGTTCGACTATCTAAGTTGTTGTGCTTCACCTTGACAACATCCATGCAGCCCTTGAAAGCTTACAATTTGCATGCTTTTAAAGGTCACTGCTTGTTATGTATTTCTAATAATTAGTATATATTTAATAGGAGCCCCGCATTTATGTTGCCTGCATGGAAGGAAATTTCTTGAAAGAATAAATAACAAAAAGATAAATAAATTGTAGCAATTGGGAAGAAAGGAAGAATCGGTGGATTGAAGGTGAAATGAAAGGTTCTTTGTCTTTGAGGATTTTGGTTTATGGCAATTTGTGAAGCAATTGAAATATGTGGAAAGTTTTGTGCTTATTAAGAAGTACGTCAAAGACATACCATGTACTGTGACAGCCAAAATGATGGCATTTGTTGGTAAAGTTGTAGGCACGGGAGAAACCAGAAGGATTCTCTTCGAACTTTATTTCAAGATTTGTCTTCTCCTGTGTTACTCAGTATGCAAAAGATTCAGATATAGGTAGCATATCAGGGACAGTGAAAAACCTATTTCTTGCTAAATGCTCAGAGAACTTGCAAATTAGTTTTGAGTCTCTCCCTGAACATCCGGGATATTTAGGGAACTGCTGAAGGTTGACCTCGCAACAAGTTTTTTGGTGAATAGTGTTTTCCTAATGATCCTTTTTTAATTGTTTCACTGGTAACGTTGTATAGGTCTCTATTATTCCTTTCCGTGGAGATGCTGCAGAAGTTCTCCTGCCTCCTTCTAGGTCAATTGCCATGGCAAGAAAGCGTCTCGAGAGACTTCCCTGTGGTGGAGGTTCTCCCCTGGCTCATGGTCTTACCACGGTATGTGGAGTCATCTGGGTCCTCTGGTCATTTTTCTGTAATAATCAAGTATTCCTCTGGTCATTTCTAAGGGAAGATCTTTATTTTTGTACGAGTAAGGTCTTTACGGAAGTCGTTCAATGAATTTTTTTGTTTTCCCCATGCAGCAGTTTGAGTTCTGTATCAGGTGTAGGTGAAAATATTAGTGATACTTTTTAAACTTGTTTGACTACAGTTCCTATTGCTTGTTGAATAATCATCCCTCACTCTAATTGAACTTACAAAGATTATTTTGTATCTAAAAAAGACTCTAATCTGCTTAGGCCGTGAGGGTCGGGTTGAATGCAGAGAAGAGTGGTGATGTTGGACGTGTGATGATTGTTGCCATAACTGATGGTAGAGCAAATATATCTTTGAAAAGATCCACTGACCCTGAAGCTGCTGCCGCTAACGATGCTCCAAGGCCCTCATTGCAAGAGTTAAAGGTAAAAGTTTCGGCTCTGTTTGTGAACGTGGCATATGATGCCGATGACATTATATTTTCGAAGTTGCGGTTCCACGCAGCATTTTTATTTTCTTGATTCCTGATATATTTGGCTGTTATCGATGAGGCGCCACACTACATTTCCTTTGCCTTTTTGTTTGGCTTAAGGAAGTTTATGCGCTTTGATACGAGAGTAATGGCGAGAAAGTTATTTTCTTCTCTTATTTTGGCTTCTCAGGATGAAATACTTGAAGTGGCCGGAAAGATATACAAATCGGGGATGTCGCTCCTAGTAATCGACACAGAAAACAAGTTTGTTTCCACTGGTTTTGCTAAGGAGATAGCCAGAGTAGCTCAAGGTTTTCCTGCGTAAAATAGTACGAGTTGTTCCGGCAACTAAATCGAAGCGTTCTCACCGAAGTTCTCTATTTGATTTGCAGGTAAATATTATTACTTGCCCAATGCTTCAGATGCTGTTATCTCAGCCACAACAAGGGAGGCTTTATCATCCTTGAAGAACTCTTAGTGCCGAGGAAGCTCTCGTCCGTTTTTTCCGGCAGTACCTAGCAGACCAAGACTAAGCCACCATTTCCCCTTATTGCTGAGCTCGAGTGGCAGTGAGCAGTGAACCGAGTTTCATGAGATAAGATATTGGACAGGTGAGGTCAGGAAGGGGAAACGAACCATTTGCATGACGAGACGGAAATTATGAAGAGTTTCAGCTCATCGAGATGGTCATAGTTCCTCTATCAAGGCAAAAGTTTGTTAGCAATCGGCACTCCAAACCTGAAATATGAATGTGAATGCTGCTATCTTTATTTAACATACGTGGAGCAAAGGTACCAATGCGTCTGCCAGGTTATGTGTGATGCATATAGTTCAGGAAAATTCAAGAGACGAGAATTGATACACTCTAGGGTAACTTTTTCTCGAAGTGTCTCCACACATGAAGAATGAAGATTTTCCCTCGAAGCCAGCCTAAAGAAAAGCCCGAACGAACTGAGATTGCTGTCCATGATCCTAGTGCTAAAACTGAGGGAAAATTCCAAATAGGAACTTTGTTTCAAATAAAGATCCGAAGTAGTCATTTAGTCTCAAATAATAATCCGAAGTAATCAATTAGTCTCAAATAAAGGCTTGACTCGCCGGCCGGCAAACAGATGCATCTCCCGTTCGTATTGCGGCAACCGATCAGGGGTATTTTCGTCCTAAGATATATTTTTTCTCTCTCTTTTTTCACCCTGTTCAGCTTCTTCTGGATCCGAGCCATGGTGTCCCTGTTCATCATCTTCTTCGTCAATGTTGAAGATAGGCATTGCCCAGACGAAGAACACCGGAATTGGGGCACACCATTTTCTGTGTTCTCAGAGAAATTTACCTACAACTATGGTGTACGTATGAGTAGCAAATGAGAGAGAAGTTTCCGTGAGATGAAAGGCAAAATTGGGGCTCATCAATTTTTGGGTAAGGATTGCTGGGATTGTTTCAAATAGGCACATGAAAAACGCAAAATACGACATCTCTCTCTTTTTCGGAGTGTTTTATGTGTACATCGACACTCATCCTTCACGCGAAAAATTCTGAATTAAGCGGAGTTTTCAGCGCGAGCTCGAATGTAAGAGACAGCCATGGTGTTTGTGAAGGGGTTGAATCTAAGGTCGCACCGGAGAGAATGCTCCCGACAGTACCATGGTGAAGCAAAATTGGGGAGGAAGAAGATCCATGGAGAAGAAGATGAGTATAGGGGAAAAAAGAATAACAAAAAGAAAGAAAAGTACTTTACCAAAAAAAAAAAAAAGAAAGAAAAGTATGGAAGCAACGCGGCCAAACTCTGCCTTCTCTGCGACCACCTCCTCCCTCGCAAGCACCTCCGCTCCCAGATCTGCGACAACTGCGCCTCCGCCCGCTGCTCCACCGACAACCTCGTCCTTTGCCAAGACTGAAATGGGACGCCCACGTCGCCTTCCTCGTCCCCTCCTCCCACCGTCGCTCCCGGCTTGACGGCTTCTCTGGCTGCCCCTCTGCCCTTGAGCTCGCCTCCCTCTAGGGCCTCGATTTGGACGACATTAATCTAATGCTTAACGAAGAAGAAGATTTTTTTTTGGTTAAAGGAAGAAGAAGATGATGAACAGGAATAAGGGTGAAAAAAAAAATTAAAACACCTTTGACGAAAATACCCCTAATTGGCTGCCGGAATACTAACAGGAGATGCATATATTCACCCGCCGGCGAGTCAGGCTCTTATTTGACACAAAATAACTACTTCGGGTCCTTTTTTAATATAAAGTTCACTTCATATCCTCTTTTGATAAAACAATGGCATTTTGAGTTTCTATTTGAAAATTTTCCCAAAACAGATGTACCGCATCAAACATATATTTCGTGAATTCAAATGTCGCATCTTCACTTTAGGTTAAAAATCTGGTAAAACAAGTGAGATGATGTAGTTTTAATTTAGTTACTAAAGAGTAGACCCGACCATTACGAGCTCGGACCGTGGATTTGTGAGCACGAATTATTCGTGGTTCATGAAAACTTAAGAAATCTCTTATGTTTGTATTGGTAAAAAGGGGTGAGAGGGCAACCGACACAAGCCATTAACATTAACAAACTCTCTAGCTAGATGTTACAATTAGTATTTCACGCCTCGTCACGAAATATTTCTTTCGCGACTCAAAATCCTAGATTGGTTCTTTCTTTACGCGAAGATCCAAAATTGGGTGAGCCCGTCACTTTCAAATTCGATCTCGTAGATCGCACCCATTTACCGTTTGGAAGGACCAACACTTGGCGGTGAAAACTTGAGAAAAAGTTGGCCGTACAACATTGGGGCTCCTCCTGAAATTCGAACTTCCGCTCCCTCCCAGACGGAGAGAGATCATCGTCACGCCTTCTTCTTCGCCGCCCTTCGTCCTGCCGACGCCAAAAGGGCGCACGCACCTCACCTCACCTCACTGCAGCACTCGAATTCCCCTCCGCAGTTACGCAGCTTCTTCCCGTCTTCTTCCTCCTTTCGAATCGGGTTCAGAAGAAGTCTAGGGTTTTCGCTTCTCTCCTCCTCGCGTTCGCGAAGATATGGAGCCTCTGTACGCCAAGCTGTACGACAAGTACACTAAGCTCAAGGTACCTTCCGTGCCTTTTCCCCCTTTTTCCCTGATTGCGGTTTTCGCCGATTGTCATCTGAGAAGACGGACATCCTGTCTGCATTTCCCTCGTTTTTTTTTTTTTTGTTTCTTTCGTTCCTGTTCTCTTTGCCGATTTGGATTTTCCGGTCGCTAGGCGAAGAAGTTCGGTGCGCTGGAGGAAGTCAACAAGGAGCAAGAACTGAAGTTCGTGAATTACATGACTGGTTAGAGCTCTCTCTCTCTCTCTCTCTCTCTCTCTCTCTCTCTCTCTCTCTCTCTCTCTCTCTCTCTCTCTCTCCCCTTCCCCCGAATAGTGTACTGATTTTTCCCTAATAATTTTGTGAAATTTCCTTCCTTTTTTTTAAAATGAAAATTGTTATCCTGATGTGTATTTACTGTGATGCAGCTGCTGAAGAGTTGATACAGCACTTGAGAGATGAGAATGACAACTTGCGTGCGAAAATCGATGAACTGGTGGCTGCTACAGGGTATTATTCTAAAGACTCTCCTTTTTAGATTTCTGGGCATGTCGGATTTGCCAATTTATGCTGGAGTCGAGAGTGACATGACATCAGTGTATCTTAACGCGTGACAGATCGAATGTGGACGAGTCCAGTTTGGAAAACCAACAGCTTTTGATCGAAGAAATCCAGAAGAGTAAGCAATTGTAAATTCCTTCCTGAGGCAATTTGTTGAAACTGGGCTGGTTTAGGTGTTATTCACTGTAGACTATGTCCTTGCTAGTGTCCAGGGTAGATTGAAAGATGGCACTTTTGAGCATTTACTGAACTACTCTAGTGCGGTGTGTGAATTTCGCACTTTGCACTGGGTGTTACCTGTTTGCCCTTCTGTCGTGTCCTACGATGCTTGTCCCCCCATTGACTACTTCAGTGTTGTGTTACTACCATTACATAGTAGGCATAGCATTGAATTATGAGGTTGCAAAATGTTTATTTTATGTTAAAGCTCTTGTTTCTTTTGATGCTTTATAGGGGCGCTGAGTTTAATTTGCAGGGTTCTACTTCATTACTTTTGCCATTCATCTACTTTGCATGTCCAAGTATTGTTGCTTATGTAGATTTTGAGTCATTATGAATGCTTTACGTATGGAGACTGAAGAAGCTCCTTTTTAGTCTTGTTGCTGCCCGTATAAGTGTGGATAGCTCTTATGTTCCTTTCTATTTCATTTACTGCATTTTCTCCATCTTTGTCGTCTGTTCTGGAACAGATATGCTAGACTTAAAGAATGTTTATTCGGATTGGTACTGTATTTAGAGGTTCCATTATTGTGGCAGATAAAAAACTTTCTGAAGAAGTTGCTAGACTCCGTAAGCTGCTAGACATGGGACCTACTTTCATCCAAGATCAGGACGAAAATGATAATAAACAGCTGCATACGCCTGAAGATGCACTGCCAGAATCAGACATGCCTCATGGCTCTTATCAATCATCAAAGAGAAAGCGTAGGAGGCCTTCTGAGACTGATACGAGTAATGCAGTTAGGCCTCATACCAATGTTCAAGAGAATTCTCCGCTTCTAGGTTTAGAGAAAGAGTTTCATGGGGATATTGTGTCCTGTGGAGCCGTTCAGGATGCTTATCAGGTATCTGATAACCTTATGTCCTTTACAGTACATCGGTTTCTTTAGCTTTTCTGACGTGTTTGGGGTAACTATACAGCCAGGGTGCTGCATAAGAACAGATAAAAAATCAGGTAAGTTTTTGTTTCAGTGGCTTCACTATTCTAGGCGGAATCTGTATTCTCATTGTTCATGTTTTTGTAGGTGGTGGGGTGAGTGACAGTTCAACATTTGACTGCATGTTTCAAGCTCTTATTCAGTACACACTTGGTATGAAATTTTCAATTGGTGATCAAACGGGAAAATTTTGCCTTGTAGCACTCCATGAATCAAGTGGTAATTCTTATGCTATGAAGATAAATGTTTCTGTTTGAATTATACTAGGCGATACTACTTGCTTCTTCAGGTTTTTACTATTTTTTCAGAGTATTTTGCTCAATCCACACAACCATCTGCTTATTCATGCCATGCAAATTTGCTTTTCGTTGTAATGGATGTCTTATGAACTCGACTAGTGCATGTGTATCAGAGGTGGTTTCTGATATAAGAGGAACTAGGGAAGGAGGCACTGCATATTTGGGATTAGATCAGGTGCATTAGGTAGCACCTCTCCTGCGGAGGGCTTTGAAATAGCAAGTTGAATAGAATCCGCATATTTGGGGTTAGATCAGGTGCATTAGGTAGCATCTCTCCTATGGAGGGCTTTGAAATAGCAAGTTGAATGGAACATAGGGAATGAATTATATCTATGGTAGATGTGATCTCAGAGATGTGAGCATTTATGTTACTTCTTTAGTACAGTACCTATGGTACTTCTTATTGACCTGTAAAATGGTTATTGCCCACTAAAATCCTTATTCAATTTTGTTTTTCCAACAGGTTATTCATTCAGTCTCACTTGGGCCAACAGAGCGTCTGGAGGGGATGTAGAGCTGATGTATAGCATGCTATCACTGGGAACCTACGAGAGAATCGCTCCCGAATGGATGAGGGAGGTCATCAAATTTAGCATAAGCATGTGCCCCGTTTTCTTCCAACGGATTTCACGGGTGATTCGATGAATCGGTGAAGCATACCTGTAAATTGAAGGCGTTGGAACAATGTTCAAGCACTTTATTGAGTTTAAATTTAGTGGAAAGTATTAGGGCAATGAAGGTTTTTAGTATGTTTTGTACGATCCGGTCATGCTTAATTTAACTGCAGGGTCTTCATCGTCTTATCCTAGAGTTATATAGGTTGCATCAGTAATTGATTCTACTCAGTCCTATCCTATAGCTTACTCGAAACTGAGTATTATCCTCAAAGGTCAAAGGAAACAGGCAAGAATATATAAGTCAAAACAGAAAAGAATGAAAACACCTTGTCTCTTAAAAATGAGTTTGTAGCTGATTTATCTCCGGTTTGTCGTTACGATGCCAACCCGCCTGCCTGGCACGTCGTCCTACCGGTGAAGCCATTCTCCCGATCACATTAGTTGGGGGTTCGAGTCTTGCCCTGAAGATTTTCCACCAGGAGAGTTCACTAAGCCTCCTCACATATAAGGAATAAGGCCTAGGGATCTCGAAGATTACTCAACTGGGATGGGCCAAAGAGGGTTCCCCATTGGGAAAAGGTCTCGTGAATAATTGAGGAGGGATGCGTGTAGAATTCTTTGCCATAAGAAAATGCGTGTGAGCGCACTTCCTGACAATCATGGATAAACTGGAAACTCTCGTTCATAGTTTCAATTCAATTACATCACCTCCCCGTTACTATAGCCCCGAATGCTATACTTTCGGAATATACGTGCAGGGGGAGGGGGGGTGGAACTCAAAAGTTTAAATGGAAAACCGAAACAAAAAGTCACAAATCTTCGCCGGAGTGGACAGAGAAAAAATAAATTTTCTGATTTTTTTTCGCTCTAATTTTCTTCTCCCCCTCCTCCCCAACACAGCATACAATTTTCATTTTTTTTAGTTCTAGCTGTTGTTACGTGTGAAAGAACGCATTAACAACTTATTTTCTCTCGATAAAATTCAAAAAACAATCGTTCAAGAGCCGAGATGACCAAGATACAGATTTTAGCAACCAAAGAAGAAGAAGAAGGTGAGCCGAATTAGGCAAACCCAAAACTGGAAAGCCCAAACAACTACTCGGAATGGCAAGAAAACTAGCCGTTTGAAAAGGAAGAGGGGGGCAAACTGAGGCTTAAAACACCTACCTCTGCAACGCAACGGTCATTTTTTTTTTCAAAAAAAAAAGAGGAATAAACAAATGAATAAATCCCGAACCTCACAAATCATTCTTAAATCTCGCAGAGCTCCGTTCTTCTTCACTTCTCTTTCGCCTTCGATCCCACAAAGAAAACCCAACTCTTCTTCTTCTTCTTCTTCTTCTTCTTCTTCTTCTTCTTCCTCCTCTCTGTTTTCCGTTTTCAGAGTCGAATTTGCTTTCGCGGTCGCCTTCTGATCCGCGGTCTCTCTCTAGCGCTCTCGCTCGCCCGCGCCTGTCTTTCAGCACTCGTCGCGATCGGCGAATCAGAGAACGAACGAAAGAAGAGAGAGAGAGAGAGAGAGGCGAAGAGGAGAGAGATAGGAAGGAAGGAAGGAAGCCATGGCCGCCGTCAACAACTACGCCGAGACCCAGCAAGAGAGGTACCAAGGCAACACTCCCGCCGCCGCGCCGCCTTCCAAGCAGCCTCTCCCGGCGGCGAAGAGCGTCGACACCCAGTCCGTGCTCAAAAGGTCGTCCCCCCGATCACAAAACCCCAACGAATTTGTTTAATTTTCGGCGTTTTGGCCCGGATTTGTGTTCTGATTGCTTTTTGCTTTGTTTCTTCCCCTGGATTAAACAGGCTGCAATCTGAATTGATGGCTTTAATGGTAAGAAATCGCGCCCATCTCCTTTCTATGACACTACAGATTTCTGTATATCTTCTTCCACTTTAAGAAACATGTATCTAATGGCTGTTGGAAGCAACTAACGTGTCGCACAAGTGAGAAATTAGCATTCTTTCTCCATTAGTTGGGGATCAAACTTATCTCACAGTCCAGAACGATCTAGGGTTCAGTAACAAGTTGGGATCTTGAGTTCAATTATGAATTTCATTCCTTTTTTGGGTTTTTGATTGGGATTGGCGTGCGATTGCACGCAGATGGGTGGTGATCCTGGGATATCTGCATTCCCGGAGGAAGATAACATATTCTGCTGGAAAGGAACAATCACCGGAAGCAAGGGCACGGTGTTTGAAGGAACGGAGTACAGGCTCTCTCTTTCCTTCCCAAATGACTACCCTTTCAAGTCACCAAAAGTCAAGTTCGAGACCGCCTGCTTTCACCCCAATGTCGATGTCTATGGCAACATTTGCTTGGACATTTTGCAGGTGAGTTCGAGATTCTACATATGTATGATTTAGTGTTTCCGACGAGATGAGTTCGTTGCTAAATGCGAGGTGATGGCTGTTGTAGGACAAGTGGTCATCTGCTTACGATGTCAGAACCATATTGCTCTCTATCCAGAGTCTTCTTGGAGGTAATGCCGCAGTAAACACCACTGGACTCTTGATATATTCTTTGTAGTAGTTTGTTTCATCTCAATTGTGTGACCCAGTTCTTTTCTTTCGTTCTGGTTGAATTGGGATCTAACAGAACCAAACACAAGCTCGCCTTTGAACACCCAAGCAGCTCAGTTATGGAGCAATCAGGAAGGTCAGCTTCTTTCTCTGTCTAGTCTACCTTGTCAACTTCGAATATACGCAAGCAATCCAGTTCTCAGATGGGACTTTTTCTTGATTGAATCCGTCTTTTTCTCGTGCAGAGTATAGGAAGATGGTGGAGAAGCTGTACAAACCTCCAACTGCTTAGAGTCCAAGTAGAGAATGGGTTCCTGGAATGTGAGAGGGAAAATATGTTTCAGCCTTTCATTCATTCCCAAAGAGGTCGATATTGACTTGGATTCTTTGGTTTGTTTCGGTGTGTTTTGAGTTTAATTTCCTCAGGCAGATTTTGCCCAGGAAATGCCTCTCTTGTATTGGATGGATGACCATATAAAGATTGAGTTTTTGGAATGGAAATGACTCTCTCTCTCTCTCTCTCTCTCTCTCATTGTGGTTCTTATTGTTATTCACATATATGCAACCTTAATGTCAATGACAAACACAAGGCTCTAATTGTCCTTAAAAATCACTTTATGGCATCTTTCTTGGCCAAACATGCTGATCATCTCGAAGAGTTTCTACATACTCTCTCCGCATATATATATAAAAACTTTTTTCAGGTGCTAAATATCTTGAGCTTGTCTAATTTCTCGTTTTTCGGCTTTTTTCTTTTGGGGCTAATTGGAACCTGAAGAGACATTTTTATTTGTCCCAAATTGATCCTTTCATCAATCATTTGGGTCGTAAATTCCAATGTGGCAATATACAGTGGTGCCACTTTAGTGTTGACCAATGCGCATACATTTATAGTAAGTCAATGTACATGTACTGTCAGATTAAATGAATTTTACGTGAATCACGAGTTGGATTACACGTAAATCCCATCTCATCAGGTGGCCGAGCACGGCACACCATTAGCAACAAGACTTATTTTCTTATTTTTTGTGATTATTTTTCTATAGAAAGTTTTTCTTTCATATTATTTTATTTGTTTCTTTTAGTTTTCAGCATCCACTATTAACGTTTTTTTTTTATTTTTTTTTAATGAAAGAAAATAACTTGAACATAAGGAAAACAATTCTTTCAAGGACCTACAGTGTCTTCTATCCCAACTAGAAAACAAAACAGTCTAGACATATTGCAATTCGCAACTTGCAAGTGCCATCATATTTGCTCTTGCCTTTCCTGGTGAATACAAGAGGACAAAATAGAAAGAACCTTCATTTAAATTTGCTTGGTCGAATGTACAATAAAGATATGAATCCAATGGCATACTATGAACAAGCCTCACCTCTTTCCATTTATAAAGAAGATATGGACAATGCCAGAAGAAAAACAAATGCTACATTTACAGGGGCTATTCGTATAAATATCAAACAATATATATACTTATAGCATCTGTACGGCATCCGGATCGTTGGATGCGTGTGAAGCGGCGAGGAGGGAAGCACCAATTCCCGATCCATCTTCCATCACATTGAAAATCACGTGTTTGGCCACATCTTCTCCCAATATCTCAACCATGGCTTCGTTCAGATACTCCCTGAACATTGAGTAGTTGGTGTATAAACCGCCTTCGATGGCCACGGCGGTTCTCCTCATTTTGACGTCACCTCTGCTCCTCCCGCTCATGATTCCACCGCTACCGTCCCTACCAATCTTCTTTAAAATTCCCACGATACCTGCAGCTGCCAGTCGAGCAGCTCTTCGAGTAACCACATCACACACGTTTACGACCAATTTACGTACTTTCAAGGGGACATCTGGGATCTAGAGGAAGACCCGAGGACACAGGCAACCAAATGAAAGAATTAGAAAGTGTAGACTAACTAATATTACTCAAATAAACATTGCCAACGGGAAAAAGAGGAGAGAATATCAAATAAGCGTGCTTACCTCGAGAATGTCTCTCAAGATTTTTGCGACTTCTGCCAAATCTGGGGAGTCATCCTCATGCATAGTTGCCACCAAAGGTGTCCTGAGATGATAGATATGCAAGAATACTTGAATGTCTGGGTACCACTTATTGTTTCCGGTCCAGAAGTAAAAACTGCTGATATCATGTATGTCAAGCAGTCATTTAACTGATGTTCAGACCCATGCAATGCAAGATTTGATTTCCCACATTCGGTATCCAACAGTACTAGCTAGTATTTATAAGAACTGAAACCTATACTTAACTCTCTTCATCTAAGCACAGTCACAAGCAGAGAGAGAGAGAGAGCATTCAAAATTTTACCTCAATATGAAGGGTGTCAACAACCTGGGAGAAACAGGCCCCAAAATATCGGATTCTTGGGACATCTTGAGTAGTACTCTCCTGACAATATCACCCAGGTACATTCCTGATATCATTTTCTCAAAACCCTACAGCAAAAGCTCCACGTGGTAATATGTTAATTCAAACGTATTGATGCCAAAGCAAAAGAAATAGAAAGAGAGCACAAAACGATACCTGCTCATTTGGGTTGGGGCTATCGGCATCTAAATCAATGTCATATGAAGTTCTCGGCAAATGAGACGACCAGAAATTTCCCCACTCCATGTTTACAACCTTGAAAGAAAATAAGCACGTGAAATCTAAGTCATACAAGATAATTTCAGTAAAAGATGAAAGAAAAGATACCATGCCTCCAGAGGAAGTAAGAATTCCTTGGCATTTAATTATTGCATCCATTCTCTCCACATAGCAAGCATTTGTGCCAGTTCCAATTATCACTGCAGCAACAGTGTCTGCATCATGATAATGTCCCAGAGCTAAAGTTCCCACCGTGTCATTCACCTACTCATCAACAATGAAAATCTCATCAAATCTGCCAAAATTTCAGGTCATAAAAAGCACAAAGTTGACCATTCCATAAGACATAACACGAAAATGCATCAATTCATGCCATGTGTGAGTATACACGTCAAATGAAGGTGATGATCTTTCATAAGCAGGAGATTTGCTAAGATCAGCCGAACTTGATGTGACTCGATCATCTAAAACCTTGCCTCTGGGATTAGCCAACTCAGCCATGCACAGAAGTCCTTCCTTAGCATCTCCATTTTCAATGGAGAAAACCCAACTAGAGTTTCCTTTTACATGAATTATCACCTCACTACAAGATCATCTGACCTAATCCAGACGAACAAACTCCATCTCAACAACAATTATTCATTTAACAGTCTGAGAGAAGTGCATCTGTCAGTCAAAGAAAATAAATAATCGGATAGAAAAAAAAAAGATTAGAAGAAGGGGAAAAAAACCGTGCTAAAATTCAGCATATTACAGAAAAATCCTAATTTATTATATTGCATCGCTGATAGGTTGAAATGCAATTCCGCACTCTTGTATCTAAGTATTACATCTACATAGCAATACACTTCCAATATGCTTAAAAACTCTTTGGCATGATCAACAAAAATAAACACATGAAACTAAAGATGGAAAGTCTACCAGGGCAGAAACGCGCACAGACAGGCCTTTTCTTGTCAATGCTTGTTGTAAACATTCAACCACCTCTTTCCCAACCTGAAAACCAATCAAATTATCCAACTTAAGCAGTTCAGTTGTCCCCCTTTTGCACTGATTAGCAGGAATAAATAATAGCTAAATTGTCGTCCTCATACGAAAAAAATATACACGTTACATTAAAATCTCATAAAGAGAAGGATCTAATCTGAGTTGGGACAATTGTCCAAGAAAACAAAAAAAAGAATCTCGAAACAGGAGTAAAGAAACGAACTACTACCTCCTTAAAAGAGAACCATCGTCACTTGGACCCAAAATTCAGAAGGATACTACCATTACTATCATTAGAACTACTGTCACGAACTTAGACGGAAATGAAGTTTTTTGTAATGCAAAATTACTAGCGATCTAACAAGAAAGGAAAGATGGAAGAAACCAACCATGTCCTCGATAGCAAATCCTTTTGTCCATTTGATCAGAATGCCAGATGAAACAGAGGTTTGCCTAACGGGATATGAGAATGTGAAACCAAGTTCTCTTCTTCTGTCCAACGTAAATGCAGAACCATTTTCTTCTCTTTCGATGAATTCCTTCAATGATGAAGCAACAAAATCAAAAAGATCCTGCAAGGAGTAACTATGTTATGATAAGCACATTGTAAAAACTATAGGGCTCGGGACTACAAAATAGATATATATAAATCTCCCACAATGCTTTAATCAACCCACCTCGGTTGTACCGGTCATCAGATGTTGAGGAATGAGTTGCCGTTTCACATCAAGTACAAGGATCGAGGACCTTTGTCCTCCTAGCTTTACCCTCAACATCCGAAAATAAGTACCTCCAAGATGCAGCGCATAATATGTCCCTTCCTCGCTCCTAAATAGCAACAAAAAAGAAACAGAATTACAAGAGAGAATAGAGTTCCAAATTGCTGGCATTCCCATTCGAATCATCTGCATTGCTCCTTGCATAAGTCAGTTAGGCTAAGGTGACACAAGGCAATAAATTTTCAGTCGTAAAAGTAGCACAGCACTAGACAGAGAACAGGATTGACAATGCCAACGAAACATCATACTGAACAAATGAAATCCCAATTTTCTTAGTCGTGGGACATCCGCTAAAGCTAGACATTTCCTATTCCTCGAAAAGACTGCTCTAAGCATCAAGGAGCAGGAGTCTCTAGTGTTTGAATAAGGACATCAAGAGACAATATTACACTGCGAAAATAAACTGTTCAGGGACGAATAAACAAGAAGCTCGGTAATGACCCGCAATCGGCATCAGGATTCAGCGTATGAACAGTCCAATAGTCAAAGCAAATCCCCAACCAAATCACAAGAAGACACGGGCAAAATCAAAAGGGGACAACAATTTCCTCGTCAACAACAAGAAACATTCCAAGCCCACAGAGCGAGAAATCAAGAATCAAACGACACCAAATAAAAATGGAAAAAGAAATTACCCAGAAGGGAGATTATCGACGAAAGTGAGCAGCATTCTGAGCTTGGAGCCACCCTCAGACGCCAACCCCGCATGCATCTCAACCGCCATGGCGTCCACCACCTGCTTCAGCCTCCCGACGCTCGTCTCGCACCCTTCATCGACCTCCCTCAACAACCCCAAAACCCTCCCCCACTTCCTCCTCCTCCTCACCCTCCGCCCCACCACCGCCGCCGCCACCACGCACGCCGCCGCCGCCGCCCCGGCAGCCGCCACCGCCACCCCCACCTTCCCCATCACCCCCCTCCTCCAGCTCCCCCGTACTCCCTCTCCCCACAAAACGACGCCGTCTTAGAAAAAGCTCAGGGGAGGAACGGACGGAAAAACGAATTGAGCGCGAGCGACAAAGGAAAAGGCGTGTACTTTTCAACTCCTAGCCATCGAAATCCGCCATTTTGATGTACCTCCGATCGTTTACCGGAACAAGATGGTGCCTCCGGACCATGCAGGGCTGTGTCTCTCGTCGTCGCTCCCCCGCCGAATCTGACGACCTCCGAAGCAATATCAGAACGCGCCGGCGAGCGAGAGAGGGCGCGTTTCACGTGTTCCCGGAGTGCTTGCTGGCAATCGGCCGAGTCGCCGGAGGAGTTCCGGAACAGTTTTCCGGTGAGACGACGGCGGGGGCGGCGGCGATGGTCCCCCGGTAGTTCTCTGCGAGGGAAGAAGAAAGAGGCCAGGCCAAGGGCCTAGGGGGGTGGTGGTGTTGGGGGTGTGTGTGTGTGTGTGTGTTTTTTTTTTTCTTTTTTGTTATTTATTTATTTTTCCTTCTTGCACTAAGCGAAGCGAAGTGTGGGAAAGCGAACTAGGTGATATTTATATTCGTCTCGAAATTACCATTTTGCCCTTGAGTTGTCTTTTGTATGTCGGATTCGCGTGCCCTTCTGTTATTCACTTGTTCGATTTTTCTGTGAGATTGTAGAAGTATGTGCGAGTAAATTTCTACTCTTTTTAGAGAGGTTTAGCTGTTGTCCATGTAAATCAAATACTATGTGAAAAAGCATATCGATGTGAAACGGTACAATTAAACGTATAAATTATATTCGAAAAGCACGTGAAAACTTTTCTTATTTTTATACATCTTACACCTTTATCGATCGTGAATGAATTTACTCTTTTAACCGTTCATAAACTGAATGTGTGAGTTCTTTAAAACATCGGTACATTACTTAAGAGAAAAAAAAATTTAATAAACAAGGAGTTAAAAATAAATTACAATGGGCAGTTGCAATTTTCCTGCGCTCTTTTGGTAAATATCTATTGCGTCGCACACGAGGGTATACTATGCGAAATTTCCTTTTCTCAATAATACACTCATGACCCCTTTATCGAGTTGAATGAAAAAAACGAAAATCCCGGACATATTATATTCATAAGAGAACAATCAGCTATTGAAAAAAATAGTTTTTCTTGTTTTGGTGGCCTAAAATATCATCGTTCTGTATAGATATAGATATATATATATATTATGGTATTTTTATAATATATCATAACGTGACCTTATTGTAATTGCGCTCAATTTTAGCCATGAGTAAGTTAAATAAATACTTTAGAAAGCAGCAATGATCATGCACCTATACCGTATGATATCACAAAGATTGACTAGGGGTTGATGAAAAATGAAACAACTCATTTTACAATGAAAATTTAATCACCCGAATATCGAATTCCGTGATATTTTTTAAAAAGAGAAATTTCATGATAAGCTTTTCCTCGGACGATTTTCCGCCATTAAAACATAGAATTGAAAAAAGAAGTCCCTCGTTTCCTCTTCCGTACCGAACCAAGGGCATAATAGCTTTTCAATTTCCAGCGGAAAGGTCGCTGCTGGTGCGGAATGACGGAATTGCCCCTCGCCCGTGCGCTTTATCATGGCCAAAAGTGGGTCGGTGCTCGTTCTAAAAGGCCGTATTGATTGCGTTTGACTCCAAATTGATGGAGACGGTTGCTCAATCGGCGGAGTTTAGGGCACGCCGGTGGCCTTTCGACCATCACTTTATTATTATTATTATTACTACTACTATCGTTATTATTTAATTAATTTGTGCAAACCTTCATTTAGTGGTCGTGTAATAAAATAAACGGTTTTCTGATGTGACTTGTTGGAAGCTCCTGTAATCCCCTCGTGATTCAAGCGCGGAAATGAGTCACGGCTCGGCGAGGTAAACGGGTCAATCGCGGATGATGATGATGATGATGATGGCACCTTTTCAATACATGCTTCTTAATCAAAAAGGTTTAAAAATCGATGGCCTCTTCCGTCTTGCCACGCGACAACGGCAGTATGGTAAAAGCACGGGACCGAGCCCCCCCACGCCCCCCCCCCCAAGATTAAGACGCGATTAATTGGCTAAGCTTCGACAAATTCTGGGAACGAGACGAGGAGGCCACGTCAGCGGAAGCCCTTTTCGGGATTAAAAAAAAATTGGAAGGGCATGACGGTCAATTCTGGCACGTTTTCTAGGCTTTGGACCTCTGGGTCTTGGTCCGCCCCCCGACCACTTGCGAAATAAAAAGGACGGTTTTTCCTATACATTCTCACTTTCGGAAAATTGGAAAAAAAAAAATTATCTACATGTTGGGCATATTTATCAACTTGTAATGTCTCTTGAAATTTGGGCCCAAAAAAAAATCTCTTGAAACCCTTTTTTTTTTTTAATGAAAACGAAGACTTAGTGCTGTAGTAATTACTCAATGGTGTACCGGAAAATCAAGACCCGTGGCAAGATTCTGAAAAAAAAATTGATCGAATTATGAAATGTTCGATGAATCAAAAACTCGATTATCGATTAAAGAGGAAACAAAGGTGCCGATAATATCTCATTTTGCTTGTTATTTTTTCGGCATTTGTCAAAAGGTGTGCTCGAAGTATTTATTAGATGATTAATCACGAAAGATTTTGATCTTCTCAATGAAAAATGTTAGTCCAATTAATACTGGTATAGAAAATTGATTTATCGGGCGATGTATCGTATTGTTACTGTTTCTTCAGACATCAGTCACGGCTTGACATATCAATTAGTGAACCGATTTTCTATCGGGGTCTTAATAAGTCCGGCGTTGCTATTTTCCCATACCCCGCCTCTATTTCATGCTTCCGTGTAATTGGAATATCGAAAAATGCCTATTTAAACATAACATCCAAACACACTAATTAATTAAGGCGATTATTCATTTCCAAAGCAATTATCGCACTTAAAATACGAGACGATTAGCACGTATTGGGGAAGTGCTGGGTTTTTCTTTAATTAGTTAATAATTCGGACTAGTGCTTCCTAAAGACAATTCGTTGACGAAATTTCCAAACGCCCTTAATTAAATATAATTATTCGGAAACGCCCGTTGAAAAAGAGCTCAGGTTGGTTTTTGTGATTTATGTACGGACCGGAAGTCGAGCCATAGTGTAATATAAAGAAATCGAAAAAAGTATGGGGAAAGGGGGAGGGAGGGAGGGGAATCTGGTGGATCGGCGACGGGAGCTGCGTAACAGGGGAGGGGATAGTCCGTACGGTGCCAGTTGGAATCCGCTAAATTCCAGCTGTGCCTCACACCAGTTCGATTGAGAGAGAGAGAGATCGTACCTTCTCGCCATTCCCCACCATTCATCTTCTTTCCCCCAAATTATGCTTCTCTTTCTCTCTCCTATTTTTTTTTTTCCTTCTGTAAATATCTTTATTTTTGGTCGCATGTGAAATATCTTTATTACTTTTTAGGATTTCGCAAAGAAAAATTTTCATTTTCATCCGCACTAACTATTTGCATCGCGAGGAAAAGATTAATGTTTCTGATTCATCATCTCTTTTGTGTCGTGTATGATCAATCTATTCAGAATTCGATACATATTTCATGACGGTATATAGTCAGTAGATGCTCCCGGAACGACCCCTTTTGTCTTTCTTTTTTATGAATGTTCTTTCTTTCTTTTTTTTTTCCTTTGGTAGCATTTGCTCGTTCCTTTTCGTTTCCTTCACCAATCCTCCCCACGCATCTCTTGTGCCAAAGACGTGCGTTCCGTAGATTCTCTGATCACTACTATTGGTAAACAATAAAAATGGAATGCACAGGTGTCAGTGCCAATGAACAAGAAGAATGGTATAAAGGAATGGACGGAATCGCTTAAATAATTGTAAACCAACTTAAAAAACGCATGACTTTCCTAAGTCGAATGTGAAATCTCTTCCATTATGCAATCGTTCAGACTTTTCTTTTTCGCTCGAACTGATTTTCGAAACCAATCATCTATCCCTCTACGCTCTCATATATAAAACTGCTCTCCACATGCATGCTAATTTTCGAAACCAATCATTTAAGCTTTACACATGAGACGTGATCAAATGTCTACTCTCACCCGCGAACAACAATGTCTAATTCTCCGATGAATGGAAACGGACCATGGGGGAAGCACCCATCTCGCATTTTTAATACAGTCCGTCGCATGCCATCCAAAGTTAAAAGAACTAAAGTTTGGTCTGGCTTTAAGGTAACCAAAAGTCTTTACATGAAAATCTAAAGTGAAAGAGTCAAGAGGGTCAATAAAAAAAAAAAACAAGAACATCACCGGTCTCCGTTTGGCAACGACACCGGATGCTTTTATCCAGCGAAGAAGGCCGAGATCAACAAATGCTCGTTATACTCAATTTATCACCCTTCCTTTTTAATTTTATTTCTGGGTTTTCATTTTCTTTCCTTTTTCGGTGAATTCATTCGGAAATCGCGTTAAAACCAGCAACGGGGTTCCAATGGAAAAAGAAACGGCAATTTTTAAAGTCCGTTCTTTCTTCTTCTTTTTTTCCTTTTCGGAATTTTCCACGCCATAGAAATAAGGCAATAATTTGGAGCTAGGGCGGTGCGCGGTACAATATGGAAAGCTAAAAACGCCAGCCGCGCGCTAATAATACCAAACGGCGCCGCAATGGGAGGAAGGAGCGGCGAAAATCCAGCAACCAACAAGTACTCTCTCTCTCTCTCTCTCTCTCTCTCTGGCTGTGGTGGTCTTAATAATGCCCCTGGTCAAACGTATTTTTTTTCGTAAAAATGAATGATTGATAGCGACCTGGCCTTCTCCTCGGCTGCGCAACACCGTCTGATCTGCTGTCTCCTCCTCTTCCCTCGGTTTTTACAATCGCCACTCCCCCCTCCTCCCCAAAAAATAATTACGACCACCGTGGTGGACTGGCCACAAAGATTCCTGTCGACAGAACTGAAAGAAAAGCGGCACGTGCTCATTACGGATTGCCGGGGCCCACCGGGATTTGCTCGCTTCGATTTAAAATCAGGGGTGTGCAACCGGGCCGGGTTTATCCGGAAACCGGACCGGCCCACCCGAAAAACAGATCCAGGAACCGGTTCCGGTTAAAACCGGTCCGGGAACCGGTTTTATTTTTTTGGAACCGGTTCGGTTTCCTATTCCGAGTAAAAACCGACCCGGACCGATTTTAGAACCGGTTTTAGAGCCGGTTTAAAGATAATATAAAAAAAACCCTAGATCTAGATCACGATCATTGTCTCGGTTCTCTCTTCGTCGCTCCTCTGTCTCGGTTCTCTCTTCGCCGATGGCCGCAAGAACGCAATTACACAACCGAGGAGACTCCTCGTTCACTTCACCCATCCGGCTCTCGTTGATCCGTGAGTCCTCCGTTCCCTCAGTCTCTCTTCTTCGTCTTTGTTGCAAGGTCAGATGGTTTCGAGCTCGAGCTTCGAATCTGTTCTAGTGTTGGGGAAGTGTTCGAGT